CTTTCCGTTTCTCCGGGCGAAACAAGCGCTGTTCCCGGAACCGGTTTTTTGGATCCGTTGTCCCAACCCCTTTGCCAGACTGAGGCGACCCGAGGGGATCGGTTCGCTCGCTCCGCGGTCCCCCTCGCCGCGACTTTCCGCCGAGGCGCATCGGGAATCTTTAGGAACGAGAATTCATTAGCGCTCGGTCCGGGGAAATACTTCCTACGGATTGCCCCGTTTCCTTTAGGGAAGAGAGAGAAATCCAGGCACGCGTATCAATAATAACCCCCCAGGGCATCTGTTGACGGGTTTCGCCGCTCGAAGCCCCTTTTTCCGAGCGCCCGTTAATCCGCGGCATCGCCCCTTTCGCCCCGCGTCAACAGGAAGCCGCTTCCTGCCGCTTTGCCCGTGACGCGGCGCCTGAGGGAAATGAGCCTTTCGCGGGAAGGGAGAACGTCGCCGAAAGCAGAGACGGAGCCAGGTACGTCCGCAGAGTCACGTTAAGTGACTTAGAAGTCGAGGATTTCTTTATTTTATTATAAGTCGGCGTATCCCGTTGTGCTGACGGCCTTGAGGAATTGTTAATTATGGATATTCGAGTATTAAAACCCTCAGAAATCAAGAAAAATTACTAGCGCTAAAATATAATTTTCAGACACTCGTTCAATTTTATTAGATATTTCGAGGGGCGTTTCGGCTCTTAAATTTTTGGTTTTTAAAGGGAGACACGTATTGGGGCGTAAAATGCTACATTTTACATATTGGATTTAAATATGAGATACTGGATTTAAAATACGAGATACTGGATTTAAAATACGAGATATTTCCTATTCTTTTAATAATTTATTATTAGTAGCACTTGTATATATAAATTTAGAATTAAGTAGTAAATAGTTCTTATCTCAATTTTACGAGCTTCCTTATTTCTTTTTCCTCTGATTCTCCCCCTCCGCTGGAGGAGGGGAGGGGGATATTGTGAGAGCGGCTTCCCGGTATTTTGCTAGCCGGAGCGAAAGCACGCCACCCCGTTTGAAAACCAATTGGAATCAGTTACCAAGGCCAGAATCAAGCATTACAATCCGTTGTATGTCGACCGAAGGTTCAAGATGCTGCCTAGTCGGCGTCTTACTCAGCGTATCGTTGGTAACACACACCGTACGGATGGTTACTACTGGTTTTAGAGGTAACTTAAGTGAGGGTGACCCATAAGAGGATTTCAAACCGCACAGAGGGCGGCTGTAGTCTTTAACATTAAAAAAACTCATCATATTGGCTCGATACAGAGCCAGAAAAGCGAGTTAACCATCAGCCCCTGAATTCCATTAAACGTTGCTTTTCGGGAATGGACAGGGTGACCCCAACCGACCGAGGGAGTATTTCATAGTCAAGCGCAAAAGAGTTAACCAAGGAGTTTAAGAACTAATTTTGTTTGCTCATTTGTGAGTCGGTGGGTCAGTCAGCCTTCCCGGTCATGCCGTCACTCACGGGGCTCACTCAGATCTCTGTCGCAATCATGCTCGGGTTTTCTGTCTCTGCCTCTCGCTACTTGGGACCTGGCTGTGTATCGGTCGATGGGTGGTGAGCAATTCTATAATGTTTTACTTGATCTTTTTGAATGACTTATTATTAGCTGTATTATTAGATATTCATTTATGGATCTTATTCATTTCTATTCAATGAGTGAATAGTTCTTATCTCAATTTTATGAACTTAGAGAATCACAGGAGGGTTT